ATATAGTCAACAATATTGTAAGTTTTTTTAAATGTTTATTTATGTTGAGAGAGAGCCCCACGCAGGAGGGGCAGAGAGAGAGGGGGGCAGGGAGACAAAGAATCCCAAGCAGGCTCTGCACTGTGAGCACAGAGTTCAACGCAGGGCTCAATATCATGAAACATGAGATCATGACCTGGACCAAAATCAAGAGTTGGACACTTCAGCAACTGACTGAGCCACACCCAGGTGCCCCCGTAATGACTTTCATTGGTGACAGATGGTAACTAGACTTATTGTGGGGGTCATTTTTTAACACTTCAAAATATCAAATCACTATGACGTACACCAGAAACTAATAGGATTTGTATGCCAATTATACTTCAGTTTTTTAAAACAAGAAGTGAGCCAACAACAAAATAAGAAATTCTACTACAAAATCCATACTTCTGACTTCTCTTGAGACCCCACAACATCGGGCCTTTATGCGTGCTAATAACAACAATTTTATGACAACAAGGAATGGAGCAGCAGATACTCCCTTTGAGAGGATATGTGTTCTACAGTTCACTAGTGTCTATCATTCATTCATTCATCCAAATTATGCATATGGACCCACACATAGCCATCATTTCTATTACCTATTACCTGTTTGGCCCCTGTTGTAGACCATATCACAAAGTCTTGAGTATTATCAGAAATCTCTGACCTTCATTATTGAATCTCTCTTTCCTTACCATGGCTATCCTGATGCTTAGCCCATAGTCCCTACAGCTGGGGAAGGGAAAAGCAGCAGGATGAGAAAAGAAGAAGCAGAGAGGGGAAGAGTAGTATAGATCTGTGGTCTTTGGGTCAGAGTCTCCACTTTGAAACAATAGAATTGTGAAAATGGCAGGTACAGACTGTCCTATGATGGGGGGAACTCGAATATTCCCTATAAAGCCCATTGGCTATCCCTCCGTCGTCTTGGAATGTCTACCTTCTCAGCTGGACATTAGAAGGAAAGACCCAAGGAAATTGGCTCACATTGACTCAGATTATGGGAGCTAGGTCTGTAAATGAGTCAATTTCTTAAGCTGAGACTAGAAAAAAATTTTTTTGGCTGGTGCCTGTTGTGGTGTCTCCCACTGTGCTATAGATGCTATAGGGAAAACAAAAGCAGTCTAAGACAGCTCTGTGTTAGACTCACACAACCTCATCGATGAGGCAAGAAATGCGTATGTGAAATAATTAGAGAACAACATAAGACAGCATCAGAAAAGTGAGATCTTTCAACGTTTATTTATTTTTGGGACAGAGAGAGACAGAGCATGAACGGGGGAGGGGCAGAGAGAGAGGGAGACACAGAATCGGAAACAGGCTCCAGGCTCCGAGCCATCAGCCCAGAGCCCGACGCGGGGCTCAAACTCACGGACCACGAGATCGTGACCTGGCTGAAGTCGGACGCTCAACCGACTGCGCCACCCAGGTGCCCCGTGAGATCTTTGATGTAACCTAGTGTCCACAACATCTGGGTGGTCACTAAGGGGTAGGATCAAGTTAAGAGGAGGAGTTATTGAAGAAGCCAGGGCTCACAGTGGCCCTTCACTTGCAGAGAAATGAGGAGAGGCCATTACACAGAGGATCCCACAAGGACATACAGACAGAGAGCAATGAATGAGATGAGTGTGGCCACCTGTGAATAATATTGACGGGAGAGTAGGAAGACACGGTTGGTCACTGAAGACCAGTTTTCCTTTGAAATGATTTCCTCTCTTGTGTCATTTCCTCAGAAAGCCAAAGAGAGAATCAGAGGCTCCTTGTGGAGCACCACGTCAAAGACAATGGAATCAGATGGCTCCAGAAAGCATTTCACATTTTAAGCATAGACAACAACCTTTCAGTTCCATGACACAAGTGGAGCTAAGCAATATTCACATGTACCATCGTCTGTCTTGGACAGGCCTGTCAGCATTGGAATAGAGGGAAAGAAAGAAAAAGGGTAAGAAAAGGAGAAAGAGCAAGGAAGTGAGGAGAGAGAGAGAGAGGACAGGAAGAGCAGCATGGTAGGGAGGACACATTCCTCCAACACGACCCAGGGAATCCTGTGCTATAGGCTATCTTCCCTCCACTCACCACATATCCTGCCTCTAGATCATAGCAGAGACTGAGAAATGCTTCTGCCCAGTAGGAAGGGGCAGATTTCCAGAACTGAGTTGCTTTCTTCCTGGGCAGAACATTACTCATCTACCATCTCCCCCAACTCGAGGCTTTGTGTTGGTTGTTGTGTTTATGTTTGTTCCTGGGCCCACTCAGAACTACTTCTTCCTTAGCCAGGAGGCTTATGTTAATTTCTGAGATGATTCTTTCCTGTGTCCAATTTACTTTATGAGCCAGTTGCTCACTTCCTGCTGTCTTGTTTGTAGCTGCTTCCTCTAAATGTTTAACAATGCTTTCTCACTGCTCTATCCAAGTAATTGATGATCAATGTGCAGCCAGTTCTCAACTAGAGACCGATGCAACCACTCCATGAAAGAACTAGATTTCTTGCACACTCTTCCCCTCCTTCTCCTCTACCTCTCTCGCACTTCCTGTTTTCTGGTCGCTTTCCTGTTTGTGAATCTTTCATCCAAAGCGAGAAGGAGGCGAAGATGATGAAAAACTGCTACACATCGTTTTGTCAGTTCATCAGCAACTGCAATTTTCTAAAAAAAAACTTTTAAGAATAAAAAGAAACTTCTGAGGGGTGCCTGGGTGGCTGGGTCAGTTAAACATCGGCTCTTGGTCTCAGCTCAGGTCATGACCTCACGGTTTATGAGATCGAGCCCTGTACCAGGCTCTGTGTGGATAGCGCAGAGCCTGCTTGGGATTCTCTCTCTCTCTCTCTCTCTCTGCCCCTCCCCTGCTTGATTGCTCTTTCTCTCTCTCCCTCTCTCAAAATAAATAAACATTTTTTTAAAAAAAGAAACTTTTGAGTAAAACAATATTTGTCTATTCCATGAGAATCTCAATCATCCATGTTTTGTTCTCCCCAATCCAAATGAGTATTTGGAACTATTCTTTTCTAAGTGTATGAAGATCAGTATTTCACAGTTTCCTGGAATCCTATCCATGCTTTTAATGCTCAGCTCCACCCCTCCATGAAGCCTCCTCTGACTATTTCAGTCCTCCTCATTCCTTAGCTCTAGATCCTACCACACTGAGACTCTTCTGTGGGTATAGAGCTGTCTCCATTTCCCTATTACACTGAGAACAGACTGGGTCCCAAAACACACATTTTATTTTTTTTTCTTTCTTTTAAAGATTTTTTATTTAAATTCAAGTTAGTTAATGTACAGTGTATTATTGGTTTCAGGAGTAGAACCCAGTGAATCATCGCTTACATAGAACACCCAGTGCTCATCCCCAAAAATGCCCTCCTTAATACCCAACACCCATTTAGCCCATCCCCCACCCACCTCCTTCCATCAACCCTCAGTTTGTTCTCTTATTCAAGAGTCTCTTATGGTTTGCCTCCCTCTCTGTTTTTCTTATTTTTCCTTCCCTTCTCATATGTTCATCTGTTGTGTTCCTTAAATTACACATGAGTGAAGTATGATATTTGTCTCTCTCTGATTTATTTTGCTTAGCACAATACACTCTAGTTCCATCCATGTCATTGCAAATGGCAAGATTTCATTCTTTTTCATTGCCGAGTAGTATTCCAGTGTGTGTGTGTGTGTGTGTGTGTGTGTGTGTGTGTGTGTATCACATCTTTATCCATTTATCAGTTGATGGAAATTTGGGCTCTTTCCATAATTTGGCTCTTTTTTTTACTATTTATTTAATAATTTGTTGTCAAGTTAGGTAATATACAGTGTAGTCTTGGCTTCTGGAGTAGATTCCTATGATTCATCACTTACATACAACACCCAGTGCTCATCCCAACAAGTCCCCTCCTCAATGTCCATCACGCATTTTCCCTGCCCACCCAACCCCTCACCCCCCTCAACCCTCAGTTTGTTCTCTGTACTTAAGAGTCTCTTATAGTTTGCCTCCCTCTGTGTTTGTAACTCAGTTTTCCTTCCCTTCCCCTTTGGTTTTCTGTTACATTTCTCAAATTTCACATATGACCAAAACACACATTTTAAAGCCAAAATATTTTGTTTTATTCATTGAGCAATGATCATTGATCATTGCACTTTCTGCAAACTCACCCCAAAATGCTCGTGAATACCCAAAGAACCCCATGCCTTCCACCAATAACTGCTATTTACAGCAAGCATTGCATCATGGACATAACAATGTTATCAAAGGTCCCTTTAGCTATTGGTAACCCCTCACCCAAGCCAAGAGGTCTTCATTTACACAGTACTTCTTTCTGACAATAAGAGATTCTCTCTACCTTGCTGAGACCTACAGGAAGTTGGAAGAACTCTATCTGGCCTTGGTCTTTGGTCTCCGGAAGTCCTATATACATACAGAGTCAATGTAACCACTTGAGATTATCTTTTCTTTAGCCTCCAGGGCTTGATTTAGTGGCATGGTCTTTACGATTCATTTGGAACCGAACACATGCTACTGTGTACTCCTACTTACCAATTTTATATAAGTCTGACCCACTCAACTAAACTCCAGAAGGTTAGGAAAAAATTTCGCTCTCTTCTCTATATCCCCCATTGTGCCTCAGATGGAATTGGGCATATTGTGGTTGCATAAATGTAAGAACCAAGCTTTAGAGTCCTATTGCTTGGGTTTGGATCTTGGCTCAGTTACTAAAAGCTATGTAAGCTTGGGCATGTTATTTAACTTCTGTGTGCCTCAGCTTCTTCATTTGGGGAGAATATTTGCCTCACAAGGTTGTGGGGATTAAATGCGTAAATACATGTAAAGTGCTGTATGCCTGGCATATAGTTAGTATTCCACAAATAGCTATGATGATGAAGATCATTGGCAAAATAAAAGTGACTCCAATTCCTGAATCACTAACATTTAATGCCCTGTGCTCCCTCTCTCTCCTAGCCTTAATCCTGGCCTTTATGCCTTTATTTTATTGCACCTAGGTTCCCACTCTGATGATGGATACCCAGTTCTCTGAGTTCACACCGGACATCACTCCCATCATGCTGGCCGCCCACACCAACAACTATGAAATCATCAAATTGCTTGTTCAAAAACGGGTCACTATCCCACGGCCCCACCAGATCCGCTGCAACTGTGTCGAGTGTGTGTCCAGTTCAGAGGTAGACAGTCTGCGCCACTCCCGCTCCCGTCTGAACATCTATAAAGCGCTAGCAAGCCCCTCACTCATTGCCTTATCAAGCGAGGACCCCATCCTAACTGCCTTCCGTCTGGGCTGGGAGCTCAAAGAGCTCAGCAAGGTGGAGAATGAGTTCAAGGCCGAGTATGAGGAACTCTCCCAGCAGTGCAAGCTCTTTGCCAAAGACCTGCTGGACCAAGCTCGGAGCTCCCGGGAACTGGAGATCATCCTCAACCATCGAGATGACCACAGTGAAGAACTTGACCCTCAGAAGTACCATGACCTGGCCAAGCTGAAGGTGGCAATCAAATACCACCAGAAAGAGGTAAGCTGAACTCTTCTCTGCTTTAAGGAAACCTTACACCCTCCAGAGTCCAGCACAGCAGAGTGAGAGTTGGCATTTTTCTACTACTTACCCCTCCACAAACAAATGGTTCAACAGGCCTCAAAAATAAAACAAAACAAAACAAAAACAGGTTCATTTATCCAAGGTACACACAGCCTCTGCATATTTTCTTTATGGACAGATAAGTAGGGGAAAAGACTGACCATCTGATTTGTTGATGAAATAGTACTCATTCTTTCACAAAATGCTTATTAAGCACTGTTCTAGGTGTTTGGGATACAGAAAATGGGCACTGACCCCACCTTCATGAAACTTGCAAGCTAGTTGTGGACATTAAGTAAATGATCACATCAGTGAATATATAATTACATGCAACGTAAGTGATCTGAAGGAGAACTTCTATGAGAACACATAACAAATGACTCCACCCTTCATCCTGGGGCCATGGTGGTCAATAATCATGGAGGGCTCATGGTCTGGATACTTTTTGAAATGAATTATTTTCGTTAATAGCATCTTTGATTAAGCGCATCTGAAACACTAAGGTTGTGTTTCATAACTGCAGCTCCCTAGTCCACTTTACATGAATACTTATGTCAAACTAAAAAATACTTCTTGAAACGTTTTCAATATTTTACTAAGGTCTTTAGGATGAAATTGTGACAAGGGGTAGAGAGTTCAGTTGTTTTCCTTACCTTGCTAAAATGCATTAACATCCTTCAGAGGTATAATGGAGATTACCTTCAAAGATTCTTTATGACCCTGAAGACATTTGAGACTGATAGGTAGCTGTGTCTGTCAATACAAATAACTGTCAAAGAACTAAAGGAACTAAGGGTTATTTTTTTCTTCTTTTTTATGTTTCTTTTCTTTTTTTTTTTTTTTTTTTTTTTGGTTGGTTGGTTGATTGGCTTCTGAGCTAAGGGTTATATAGGCAGAAGAAAAACAAGTTTTAAATATGGACTGGGGAAATAGGGTCTTTGAAAAGATAAGTATACCCAAGAGGAAGAGGAAATGGCTAAAGACCTCTAATCTATTAAGATAAGGCTATTGATATAAGAACACAATAGTCAACTTTGATTTAAAAAATCATTATAAAAATCTACTTGGGTAATAATGGGGTAATAAATGTTCAGAGTTACATAACCCCGTCAGCAACAAAATCTTAGCCTTGAATAAAATATAATTTACTGTTTCCTAGAAGGCTTTTTCATTGTTGGTTTTTCCTCATTGTTATTCTTACTAGAACTTAAGTGGACCCCCAGAAAGAATTTAATTTTATGGTTTGAAAAAAAAGAGCTCAGAAGAATGAAACATAAACCAATTCCAAACTATAACTTTGACATGGAGCAAAATAAGAAAGCTCTAATCTCTTAGAAAACAGGTGTAAAACTATTGGATAATCTTTACATGTCACATAGACTCTCGGGTATTGTCCTTTAGACATTTTTCAGATACTCCTAAAAAGTGCTGATTTCATGTATTGTCCCATTGTCAGATATTCATACAAAAGTCTTTGAAAACTTTATCACTTTAGTTATTCCTTATTACCATTGAAGGTAGGCAGAAAAGTAATTATAACTCATTTTACAGGGGCGCCTGGGTGGCGCAGCCGGTTGAGCGTCCGACTTCAGCCAGGTCACGATCTCGCGGTCAGTGAGTTCGAGCCCCGCATCGGGCTCTGGGCTGATGGCTCAGAGCCTGGAGCCTGTTTCCGATTCTGTGTCTCCCTCTCTCTCTGCCCCTCGCCTGTTCATGCTCTGTCTCTGTCCCAAAAAATAAATAAATGTTATAACTCATTTTACAGACAAGAACGGACCATATTTCAGAGATTTGTTCAGGATAATCTGACAAAGCCAGGACTAGAATTTCAGGGACACCTGGGTGGCTCAGTTGGTTAAGTGCTGGACTCTTGATTTTGCCTCAGGTCATGATCTCGTGGTTCATGAGATCAAACCCCACAATGGGCTCTCTGCTGACAGCATGGAGCCTGCTTGGGATTCTCTGTCCCTATCTCTCTCTTCCCCTCTCCCCCACTCACTCTCTGTAAATAAATAAACAAACTTAAAAAAAAAAAGGAACTATGGGGCGCCTGGGTGGCGCAGTCGGTTAAGCGTCCGACTTCAGCCAGGTCACGATCTCGCGCTCCGTGAGTTCGAGCCCCGCGTCGGGCTCTGGGCTGATGGCTCAGAGCCTGGAGCCTGTTTCCGATTCTGTGTCTCCTTCTCTTCTCTGCCCCTCCCCCGTTCATGCTCTGTCTCTCTCCCAAAAATAAATAAACGTTGAAAAAAAAAATTTAAAAAAAAAAAAAAAAGGAACTAGAACTTCAGACTCCCGGTACAATATTTTCTCTGTGTATACTCCATCTTCTGTTGAGTGGGGTTCCTTTATGCTGGTTTGGTAGCCTCCAAATCCACCACCAGGTAATTTAAGAGGAACACATTATTTGACTTATGAATGAAATTTTATTAGTTAAAATCTGTTAAAACACATAGCAATAGAATGATGTGCATCAATAGCAAATAAGGATTATACAAACTGTAATAATTGGCGTTAATCATCACATAAAGATATAACTATGTAATCACAACTGCTCATTGCACATTAGCCAAAACACACAAGGATAGACTTGTGCTTTCTAATTGCCATCTATCAACCTAACTCCCTTGGTTTTCACAGCTTTAAGTTTGTCTCAAATGATGAGCCTGTCTCTCTATCCGTCCATGCCATACAAGACTTGCCTTTGGTGTTAGTCTCAAGAAGATCCAGAGAAGGGCTAGTTTAAATAAAGGGCCAGACACTCTCTCCAGTCTCCTGGAGGAGAAATCCAAGATTCCAATCAGAAGCCCAATCAGGGGCACCTGGGTGGCTCACCAACTTCGGCTCAGGTCATGATCTCACGGTCTGTGAGTTCGAGCCCCGCGTCGGGCTCTGTGCTGACAGCTCAGAGCCTGAAGCCTGATTTGGATCCCGTGTCTCCCTCTCTCTCTGCCCTTCCCCTGCTCACGCGCTCTCTCTCTCTCTCTCTCTCTCTAAAATAAAATAAACATCAAAAAAATTTTTAAAAAAAGAAGTATCCAATCAGTGGACTGCTGAGTTAATGTATTTCCCTCTAATTGTCTTTTAAGGGCATGACCTGTGTCAGTTGCCAAGCAGCTATTTCTATCAATATCACCAACTTAGGGTTGGCTAATTTGCATATGACAAAAACAGGGACTTGTTCATAAACCTTCTTAGGAACTAACTATACCATGGCTTTCCACCCTAAACAGTTGCATGACTATTCACAACTCTGTTGCTTTTCTTCTCTCTCCTTGAAAATACTTCCTTACTGGCTCTTATTCCTAAGTATTTTATTATTTCCTACACTTATTTCTTATCACTATCAACTCTATTTCTAATCCTAATGTCTAATTCTGTTCTGTAGAGCAAACATACTTAATACAACTACTCATTGTTTGGAACAGGGTTGCATCTTAACAATTTCTAAACACATATAATCACGCAATCAGAGCAAACAATGGGATATATTTTATCTAATCCTAAGGTGCCATTATAGTACAGTCTTTCCACATCTAGTCAGGAGGCGAGCCAGCTTCACATGTTATGAGGTTGTAGCATCTTCCAGCTTTGACATGTAAGGACCATGTTGACCATTAGTTGTTTCATAGGCTGGTTCAAGCTTCATCTTGTTTCAAGGCCTGGAGTAGTCCCACAGATTTCTCATTATGTATTTGAATAACCTGCTTGAGTTGGTATGGTTGCTGGTGTTTTCTCATTAATATTCACTTTTTTAAGAAGCTCGCACTAATCCGTCGTGGTGTTGTTCTGAAGTCTATATTCCAGAGTTCTCCTTGGGGGACTAGCTACCCTTCAGCATCTATCATATTTGAGGAGCACCGGATCTGTCCATTTACAGTTAAATCACTCGCTAAATAGAATTTGTAGCAGAATGGTGGTCTTTCCTTTGATGTTTCCGGATCTTGTCGAAGTACTCATGCTTTGCGTTTTATTTTGACACAAAATTATAGCCCAATTTCCTAAAGTCCAAATTCCTAGTGGGAGAGTATATAGCTTCCCTGGCTGTTTCTAAACCTTTAATTAAAGCATAGATTCTATCTTTTCACTTTTATCCAATTTCTCTGTTATTCTTCTTGGTTGCTACATGTATAGATTTCCTTGTTTAACTTTTACCACTAATCTTCCTTTAGAAAAGTGCTCCTAATGGAATGATGGGATAAACCATTTCTTCTTGTTTTCCCAGCGCTATATTTTAGTTAATTTGGCACAGTCCCTTTGCACTGCATCTCTTATTTTCCATTTTGGACATACTACATAGTTAGAGTCCCCTACCCAAGGAAAGTAATGCTCAATTTGTCCAATTAGTACAGCAGCAAAGTCCCTCAATCTGTTGTCTGGTATGGCTTGTCATTATCCACAGTAGTTGCTTGATGATAAAACTTGGATTTCTCCTCTTTGTCTTTGTTCATCCATCCAAGTGTCCTGGATCCTCCTCTACTCTTTCAGTCTTTCCACATAGCAGTCTTCTGTGGAACTTTCTCATACTAACATGTTTGAGTAGCTCCGTAAGTTCTTCTGATTTTCAAAAGGGTCTTTGGTAGCTTTTTTTTTTTTTTGATACAGCAGTCTTTTTCTTCAATTTGTTACATGTACTTATCCTGAAATTCTGTGGCAAACTGATTTATGTCCCTCCTGCTACTGCTCATCCAAACAAGACCTGGCTGTGTAGTCTATAATTTCCACCCTCCATTTGCCTTTAAAAGCAGCTAATTGTCTATGTATGTAGACCTCGCTTAGGATTAGATGCAGCATCTGTATTTTAATCTTTTTGACAATAATATGCTTTACTACTCTATATGAATTGGTATAGTGTGGTTTCCATCCACATGGATGAGCTTCTACATGTCATTTCTTCACAATTTGCATATGTCAATTTGTCCTAGCGACACTTTTATGTC